CGTAGTATTCCTATGTTTTTACATCGTTGCCACCAAACTTCATATTTTATTTATAATTTATTTCAAGCATTTCATTAACTGTCATAATTGTAATTCACACTCCCTATTAATAGCATATCAATCACCCCATTTCTCTTTATTGTCATTCCCTCTCACATACCGCCCCCTAAAATTGCAAACCAAAAAATATATCTGTAAATTACATATCCGATAATGTACCTATGAAAAATATAAATATAAATATATTATTTAAATAAAATATAGGTATATTATTTACCAAAAAAAAAATTTAAAAAAACTAAGTCAATTACTTTGTAATTGAAATTTCCATACATTTTTCATAAATTAAAAATAGGAACACAATAATTTATAGAAAATATAGGTACATTATTTACCCATAGGTAAATTATTTTACAATATACCTATAAATGTGTATAGGTACATTATTTGGAGAGGAAAAATAGGTTCATTTAAAAAAATACGTACATTGTTTTACTAGGTACATTATTAGAGGAAAGAAATAGGTACATTATTTGAAGAAAGAAAATAGGTTCATTTAAAAAAATTGTTTTTCATAAAACAAATAATAGGTACTTTATTCAGAGAAAAAAGGGTACATTATTTTGAGAAAAAAAATAGGTACATTTAAAAAAATGTTTTCCATAAAACAAACAATAAATAGATTATCAAAATATTTTTCAACATAATTAGAATGTACACTATTATTCATAAAACTATAATAAAATAGATTACTAGTCTAGTAGTATAATTCATAAAAGGAAAACAACAACAAAAAATTATTAAATAAACCAAAACGTTTTTTTTTTTTTTGTCATAAAACAAACCAAAACATTACTAATACTTTAATGTTGAATTTAATATTTAATTTCAAATAAGTTTCTAAATTAATTCTTACATCCATTACAACCATTTGAAGATCTTTTCAAATTCAACGTGTGCCATTAGGTACACCCCACATAACACGTTAACTTGTAAATAGGGGTAGTTTTGGAATCTGAAAAATAGTTGGGTATTTTAAATAGAAAAATAAAAGAAAGGGTTGTAGGTGATTACAAATTAATTTTATGGGTCTAAGCTCAATTTACTATTAAAAAAATTATTCAACAATACAACAAACTTTCGTTTATAAGATTTGAACTCAAGATCCGTATTTAACAAGAAATGAAAAATCCATTTTTTTTATAACTTACCAATACAGTATGAAGACCCATATCCTTTCCAGCCTGTATGTTGCGGATGCTATCATCAAAGAAGAGCTGCAATAAGTGGTAAATTCACTGTTACATCAATTGGATTATACATGAAATGTATAAAATAAACAAATAAAAAAAGGGTCATTTTGAAGCTTTTTTGGTTGAGGAATGCATGATAAGAAACAAGAACGCGTTCAAAGGGTTAGGTATCTAGTAAGGCAAATTCAAATTGCCTTGCCACATTCTTAAGCTCCGAAGGGTCAAAGGTTAGAAGCAAAGGAAAATTTTCTTCACCTCTTGGCCAAGGCAAAATACCTTGTTGAAAAGTCGTGGGCCAATTTGGGGACACATTATTTTTATATTAACTATTTCCCTCATCCTTTGGAGTAAAGTGTCGTTGTCAAATGACGCATTTGCCTAGTTCATTGGAGATGTTCGAAGAAGGGGGAAAAGTAAAAGTTCACAGAAAATTAAAAACAATTAAGAAGGGTTATTTAGAAGTGCCAGATTAGTTGTCTTACAGTTCTTTGAGGGTTAATATTGGCTTTCTGAAAGGCTTGTTCATATGCATTTGCAAATGGCTTGCAAACAACTGGAGTCACTGGAAGTGCTGATCCAGCATCAAATAAACAAGACTGGTCAAAAACCTTTCGGCTGCCTGTGGACTTTGAGTCTTCATTATCACCGATGGGATTCAGAGTCTCAAAGCATATAACTCCTTCAAAACAGTCCTTCAATCCAAGCTTGCTAAGAGTTTTTGCCACATGGACCTTGTCCCCATTTGAGAAAATCTGTTTCATATCGTGAAGCCAAAACATCATCAGAGAAATAAAATCTTGAAGCAATTTTTTTTAGTTACCATCAACTTGCTTCTATATGTAACTTGCAGCTTACGAGTTTTCGATACGGCAGGCTCAGCAGCAGAGTCCTAAGGACATGGTCAGGTCTTAGTACCTCATAGGGCAATCTTCCATGAACAAAACTGTAAAAGGGGAATTTGTGAGATAATTTCATACTTCCTGATATGCACCAGATCATCATATAATGATAAATAAAAGAGGTTAAAGGGAGGAGGAAATTTGGTACCTGTGGTAGTCATCATTGTCAAAGTTATAACCAATGGCCTGGACAGGAGAAAAAATTGTAAGAAAGTTTATTGATATAAAAATTTTAAAAAAATTAAGATATTATAATCTGTGGCCATACCCTTAGACCAGCCATTGATGTCCCATAATTCTTGTATAACACTTGATTAAGCTGAGTGACTGTTGTTTCCTCTATGCCTAGTTTTTTAACCATGTATTCTGAGAAAAGAGATACAAGAATAATCAGATTGATCTTTTCTTGTAATTATTAGATAATGGATGAAAATGGTTTTGGATGGAAGGGTGATGAATTATATACTGTACCTTCAATATTCTTGGTGCATTGTTTAGACATTCCAGAACTCGAGGGATAAAGGGTATCATCTAGATCTGCAACACAAATATATTATGTTATTGTTGGTACTAATGAAAAGTGGCTAGCTAGGTAGCAGATGCAAAGAACGACACAAAAATATGTTGATTGAAATCTGACACAAGTTATTAGTTATAATGACTTAAAGAAGGATAAAAAATGAAGGAAAAAAGACTTACCAAAGAGAAGACACTCATATTTTGGCATCTGATGAGCCTGCTGATACTGGTTTTGGAAATCCATTCTACTCTACAAATTAAAAGCTTCAAAAGCAAGGAGCATCATCAGTTCATAGATATGAAAAAGAAAGCTAAAAAAGTGGAATTAGTTGAAGCATCACAATGTGGGGATTCATTTCAGATTCTCATTCATTATCAGAGAGAGAGAGAGAGAGAGAGAGAGAAACCAATTATCCCAACTTAATTTTTTTTTCAACACCAAACCATCAATGAATATGCAACATTTGAGAGCTATTATGGGGAAGAAAAAGTACCTCAGAGAGAGAGAGAGATGTAAATAAGGACTGAATGAATGAGGAAGAAGTTGTGTGCAGAGAAGAGGATACAGATGACAGGCTTAAATTGAGAGAACTCTATATATATAGGAGGCTTGAAGTATAATAATGAAATCCGCAGGAAGGTCAAAGCTGCCACCCTCTTTGATATTGGTCCAGCCAGACTCAACGTCTAGAAACATATGTTATGCGACTAGCCACCCCTTCACAATTCAAAAATTAACAGCGAAAAGAAATTAACAAAAACACAAACTACATCTTTTTGACTTTCTTTTTATATGCCGCTCATGAGGAACATCAGTGCCTGACCATATATTATAAAAATAGCAAAGGACATATCTGAAAACGTTTCAAGCCTTCAAGCTACAAGCCCTTGGGATTAGCTCAAGTGGTCAGACGCGTAGCGAAAATTAGGTCAAAGGTTGGATTCCCTTTCACAAGAAAAAGAAAGCAAAAAAACACATGAGGGATATCACAGGCGCTTAAGTACAGAAACTTAACCCCCACACTCATAAACAAACGATCCTTTTAAGTAATTGTGAGAAATCTTTTTAACAAAGTGCATTTCTTTTTATCTATTTCAGCTTTCATAAGGTGGTAGATTAGCTTACTCTGGTACATTATGATTGATTTGTTGGTAACATAACATCAAAATCTTGTTTATATCATCAATCTTTGACCAACTAAAGTACAATTTACAATCATAAAAGCAAAAGCATGCAAGCATTTTGGTGCCAATTTCTTAATCCTATAATGATGCTTATAAAACGCATGGTCACCAACAAATAACGTATTTGGAAACAATCAACATCGCACTGTGAGTTGAGAATCTGAAAAATCAAGACTAGTTTATGACATCATAGAAAATGCTGTAGTCATAAAATAGCAATCAACGTATAATACAGATTTCGTCCGTACAAGAAATATGTGAAATAGTTAGCACAAGGGTTGAAGAAAATTTTCCTTTTTAATGTACAATTACAAACAACTTCCTCCTCAATAACTACTAAGTAGGCAGAACCTGGGGCTCAAGGGGCGAAGAGCCATCTTCCTCGGACCCAACTAGTGGAATCTCCACTGTTTTCTCATCGTCTTCAAAACCTTCCTTAAATCTATCATAGTTGGTGACTTCGCTTGATTTAAATGGTCGCTCCCCCAACACCCGGAGAAGGTCATCTTGGTGAAGAACTTCCTTTTCAAGCAACAGTTCTGCAATTTGAGCTACTTGCTCTTTATGTTCCTCTATGATTTCAACTGTGCGTGTATACGCCTTACCCACCCATTCTCGCACTTCACTATCAATAATGGCCCCAGTCTTGCTGCTGTAGGGCTTTGCCATCTCAAACCCATCGTCCCTTTGAGGGAAAGAAAGGAGACCCACCTTGTCACTAAAACCATAGACTGCAACTTGGGCATAGGTCATCTTTGTCACTTTCTCCAAGTCATTTTGGGCTCCCGTCGAGATTTTTCCCAACAGAACCTGCACCACAGAATATGCTCACCATCACTATCATAACACGACTAATAATGTTCCCAGACTCGAGAATGAAGAATTACTAGAAGTATTATAAACAATTTGCATTATAAGCCTCATCCAAAAAATAAGAATAAGTTTTATAGATAGCTACCTGTTCAGCTGCCCTACCACCAAGGGTCATGCAGGTCATATCAAAAAGCTGCTCCTTGGTCATGAGGAGGTTTTCGTTCGGAACATACTGGGCGAACCCAAGTGCAGCAGTACCTCGAGGAACAATGGTCACTTTCAACAATGGTTCTGCATATTCTAAGAACCAGCCTGTAACAGCATGCCCTGACTCATGGTAGGCAACTGTGCGGCGTTCAAGCTTGCTTATAACCTGTTTGACAAGCAAAGATGTCAAAAATTCCATTCTAAAAAGAACAAAGACAAAGAAACACACTGAAGGTTCAAAGTCGAAACATTTTCTTATAAAGTATAAATCCCTGCTAAAGCATAAATTCCTTCTAGCTACCTGAAAGTTTGATCTGGACCTTTATTAACAATTGCTGCCTCCCTAGTGGAAGGTCAAAATGGGTTCTACAAGGTCCAGATCAAAAGAAAAAATGCTCTCTAACCCATCATAAGGAGCACCCAAAGAGTCATATAAGATAAGCAATTCCAACCCCAACACTAATGTTTAGGAAGATGGATAGCAGGAGTGTATTTTCTTCCACGGTATGTAATGATTATTTCCAATCAACTCTCTAGACATAGTGCATATCATCAGAGCTGTAACAGAAATGACCTGACTCCTAAGTAGGGGCGGGCACAGTGTTGTCCCAACCCCATGTTATGCAGCATCAGTCTTTCTTTTCTGGAAGATGAGGAGAGGGGAGGGAATGGTAAAAAATACTAGGAAATGAAACAAAGTTATCATTTACCATGAAATTAACAAGGAGCTGGCCAAAAATGAGTTACCTTGTTCTTCTTCTCCAAACCACCAATAATCCTATCTATAGCCGCCTCAAAATGCTGCATCGTGACCAGTGCACTCTCATTCCTTGCAGCAATTAGAGCACCTTCGTTGCAAACATTTGCAATGTCTGCTCCAGCAAACCCTGGAGTCAGGGCTGCAAGCCTTTGAGAGTAGTATGATGGTTCATGATCAAGTTTGATTTTTTTCAGGTATATCTGAAATATCTGGTCGCGACCTTTAATATCAGGTTTATCAATAGAAATTTGGCGATCAAATCGACCGGGCCTTAATAAGGCTTTGTCCAAAATATCAGGCCTATTGGTGCCAGCAAGCACAACTACTCCAGCAGTTGTTCCAAAGCCATCCATTTCTACCAGCAACTGATTTAGAGTACTTTCACGCTCATCATTGGAACCTGAGAAGCCCCCACGCCCCCTTGCTCGACCAATTGCATCAATCTCATCAATAAATATAATACTAGGAGCACATTGCCGTGCTTCCTGAAACAAGTTTCTAACTCTAGACGGTCCGACACCAACAAACATCTCCATGAAGTCTGAACCAGATATAGATAGAAACGGAACACCAGATTCCCCTGCAGTTGCTTTGGCTAGAAGAGTCTTTCCAGTGCCTGGAGGGCCTACTAATAGAGCGCCTTTGGGAATTTTGGCTCCCAAGTCCTCATATTTCTTAGGGTTCTTGAGGAAGTGAACAAATTCCATGATTTCCTGCTTTGCTTCATCACACCCGGCAACATCTTTAAAGTGGATCTGGACCAATTAAATACGTAAGTTACTGATGAAACCTTGCAACAGAGTGCTTAAGAAAAGGTATTATAACTATTGGAAAGAAAACTGGTAAGAAAACATTTTGAATGCACACGAAAACCAAACAAGCACCAGTATGGACTTGGGAAACAGAAAGCCAACCTTATTCTTTGCATTTTTATCTACTTTTGTAACTTGAGCCTTTCCTATGTTGAAGATTCCACGGCCACCTCGTCCACCAGAACCACCAATGCCTAGTCCACCCTGCATTCTACGCCCCATAAACAAGAGGGATGCCAGAAGCAGTAGTGTTGGTGCAAATCTCATCAATTCTTGGTACCAAACCATTTCGGAGACATATGTAACAGGAACATAATCATGAGGGTCTATTCCCAATGCTTCCTGTGCATCCTCCAACTTCTCCTCAAAAGATTCAACACTTCCAATATTGAAATAGTATTTGTACTGGCCCCCATTTGCACGAGCAGGGTTACCTTGGACAACTTCATCGCTTGTTTGGCTGTGTGGTGAACTACGCACATATACTTTTGCAACTGATTTGTTAGAAACAACTATATGATCCACTAAGCCTGGTTCCAGAAGTTTGTTTTTGAACTCTTGGAAACTTATCTGCAGAGAGAACAAAATTGCATAGCAAATGAGTAAAGAACTTTTTTTTTCTTCACTGGAATGGAGAACTTACCTTCAAGATAAAACAGAATGATATAGAAAATAATAATTTACGCTGGTCATGCAAATTAATTTATTTTATAAATATCACCACAAAAGATTAAGAGCAGGACTCAGATCTTTAACCTGACATATTACAGATCCAATTCAACGAATTTACTGATGAAAGTGAACGGATAATTTTTCAGTACTTAGGGTCACAAAGCATGTAGCCTGAATCTAGCTGAAGACCAACTTTAGTTCAGTCAAGGACGTTGCCCATGCCAAATCTAATCTAAATCAAAATGAGACAAACTTCTTTTACTTTTACATTACTATTTTATAGAAGATGTTAAAGAGCAAAACTACTTTTGCAACTCTATCCTCTCATGTGGTCGAGGTCCCAGCCACCTCATGTAATAGAACTGGAAAGAAAAAAAAAATAATAATTGTTGGACTCCAAAGAATTTTCCTTAGTAATGTGCACAATTTAAACTTGTGAGTTGTAAGTAGAATTGACTTGGCTTTATATCATTATAAAAAAAAAAGGAAAACGAAATGATATAATATGCGACTCTAATTGCATAAACTAAAATTGGCTTGGCTTTATATCATAAGAAAAAAATAAATGATAAAATATGCGACTCTAATTGCATAAATCTATCCAAAATATATATATATATCACATATTTATGGATGCACTTACCTGTTGCTGATCAGGAGAACCAAAGGAGAAGGAGGAAAGAAATAGCCCAATGATCAATAATGGGGTGATTAAATTTTGAAACTGCCTCAAGAAAGTTTCCTGAAAACTTCCCTGATCATCTGCCTTTGAGTCATCTGAAATTGAATGAACATTCAAGTTAGTATAAATGTTAAAGATTTTAAATACAAAACTCAACAAGGAATTGACTTAAAAGCGTATTCCTGAAATTCTGGGTGATGAAGGAGCATATGATCTAGGACGGGTAGAGAAAAAAGAGAGAGAAAGAGAAGAAATAGAAAAAGGAGAAAATAAGATGAACCAATATTCTTACTCAATATGACAAAATCTCCAAAACCTACTAAAAAGGCCTATATGCAGGCAATCCATAATAACAATAAAAATTAACAGAATACAAAAACCAAAATATAATTAGCCATAAATAAATATAAATGATCGTAAGTAAATAATCAATCCAAAAATTCTAAGCCCTGACCTAATACAAGCCCCCACAAGGGATTTTATATTCTCTAACACCTCCTCCCCTTCACCCCACCCGCTGAAGACTGGACAGCCTTAAGTCACAAAAGTTTTCACTATCAAATATTAACACAGAACCTAGCATTCTTAATTTGACACTACTTTCTATCAAACCTACTTGAGTCTTATATGATCAAGTCAAGACATATACAACTGTAGTAATTTATCTAAATGTAAGTTCACGCACCCCCTACATAAAACATCCACTTTACAACGAAACATGTCTCTTCCCTGGCGGAGGGAAGAGCAAGAGTCAAACTCTGACAATGAGTGCCAGGTATGTGCTCTATCACTAGAGCCATGTGTCCCTTGAAAATACTTATTTAAATCAACAACTAAAATATCACAGAGGTGCCACTGCAAACTCCAACTCTTAAAAACCACATCACTTTTTTTCTTGACAACCTGAGTTTTGTAGTCATAAAGTGGCAACTTGAACTAATCCAACATTCCAGCATTAATAAGTTCTGATGACTTAAAAACACTAATCTAAAATAAATTGGTAATAACAAAATCCTACTTTTGTCCACTTCTATGATAAACATTCAATTAAAACAAATACTAATGGCAATTCCTGATAGAACCATATGTAATTCAATGGAAAAATAGCATAGAGAATAAGCATTGTTCCAGCTGAAAAGATGGAAATT